CACATTTTTTTGGGGAAGAAGATAAGCAGATTTTTTTTTTAAAAGAGGCATGTTTCATTTCGGTAGAGATACTTTTCACACCCAAAGCCAGACTAAGAAATTAAGTCAATATTAGATGTTTGCTTAACCAGCTTAGCTTCTGGATGAAAAGGCCACACTTTTCTATTATGAAAGTTTGATAAGATTAAACCTCCTATGATTTCTGAGGAACTATTTATCTGTTGTGTACCTGGATGGGATCCTGTGAAGTTATACTCCATGTACACAGGAACCACCAAACTGATTGAAACTCATCACACAATAGGAGAGAGTTCCTATTTATTTTTTCACTGGTGCTCTCAGTTATCATCCGAGTTCTCCTCCTCCAATGGGATTTTATACACTCAGCTTTCATTGTGCAAATTTTGGAGATCCAACAGCTGACAACAAAACTCAAACATATAAAATCTTTTTGCACTTTCAAATATATCCTTCCCTGGATGGCACTTCATTTAAGAGCAGCTCAGCAAAATTATCCAGATGATTATTTATGTCTGTGTAAACATCGGATCTTTTCTCAGGAATATTCAAAGGCCACAACATGAGCTGCTTCTGAGAATCCAGGTCATATTCATGTTTACACTGAAAGCAACAACAATTCAAGCAAATTTTTACTTGACATTACTTTTAAGGAAGTGCTAATCTGTGATTCATTGTAAACTCAGAGCCTCAATATGCTTCATAATCTAAAGAACCTTCCAAGGAGGCAAATTCATTTATTCAAGAGAACTAAGAGGGAAAACACACTCAAGATCAGCCTGATGTGTTTCAAGTGCTGGATGGATGTTTCTGCTGTGCCAGTGGGCTGGAAGGGTTTTACATCAGACGCTGAAGAAGTCCAGAAAATGCCAGCATCATTCAACCTCCAACCTTGGAATGCCAGTTGGCTTCCTCCCAGCAATTCCACGACCCGAAAGCCAGAGTCCACCAGGGATGGCTGTGAGGATGGAGGGCAGCTACACACTGCCCTCCAGACCCAAAGCCTTCTCCAGTCTGTGTTTCCCCACTGACTGCCCTTACTCTGCCCTACAAAAGAGGTGGGAGGGAGATCCAGGTGCTACATGGTTTGCATTTCCCCCAGGTAAGCCAAAGGAAAAACACTGTGCAGGAATTTGATCAGAAAGATGTCATACAAGAGTTGTATGTGAGAGTCGCTGCCAGCCAGCTCACCCACCCCAACAGTGTCATGGATCAGGCAATCCCTCATACCAGCTGAAGAACATTATTCCAAGAGGATTTTCGTCCACAGAAACACCTCCTCTCTTCTCACAAAAATCATCTCTAGTAATCATTAAAATTAGCCAACCATTTCCCCAAGTCACAAGCAGCAGACTAAAACCAGAGCCGCCCAAAAACCTCCCAAACACAACAATTTTGCACTGCAAAGCACCAATTGCGTGGAAATGTGCTGATTTCACCAAAAAAGCTCTATAAAAGGCAACAAGATTGGCCGGCAGGCCAGTCTGTCCAGCTTCCTGCCAGGCTGCCTGCCAGCCCCAGGGTGGGTACTCTCAGCTCCCTAATTCAAAAAATAAAAATCAGCCATGAGAAGGCTTCCAAGGGATGGGGATTTTGCTTCCTGCAGCTCTCTGTAAGTGTTGCACAGGTGTGTGTGTGTGTGTGTGTGTGTGTGTCAGGAAGGCAGATTCAGCTCTGCTATGCACAGCAAGAATGGCTTCTCAACAACAGAAAAAATTAAGAAAAATTGTATTTTGAAAGACAGATGCCATTGCTAACAGCACAGGAGGGAAAGGATGAGACATCCCTGCATAAATCTGTGAGTGGGAAGACAATGGCAAAGAAATCCAAACAGCAAGACGATAAATCAGAGGTGGGGAATCCCTGTCTTACCCCTTCTGCAGCGTGCATGCAGCTATTGTATTTAATTAAAATAAATTACAGCTCGCTTGTGTACAGCCTGCAGGGCTTTTAACACCCCTGAACGGAAGCACAGGGATGAGCAGCCATCCTTCAGGAGCTCACTCTCCGTGTCTCCAGACACAGAATGCAGATGCTCTGTCACAGCACAGTCACAGCAAGGCCGATGGATGGAGGCAGAACAAAAAGCCCAAAGAGTTCTGCTTTTACACCATCCACTTCCTCAGCTCCGTCCCTGGGATCCTTGCCAAGATGCTGGTAATGTTTTAAATGGAGAAGGCAGGGCTGCCCAGCGGTGTGGCAGCTGCTTCTGAGCACGGATGTTTCACTGGAGAGGGGTTTCTCCTAACAGCAGTGATTTAACAGCCTATGAACTAAATTTCTGCAACACTTGGCTGGGCAGGATCAATGCACTTTGCTGGTTAACCACTGCATCCACACTCTCTAATTCCTGCTTGAATTCACACATTTGCAGCAGCAACACCGGAGATCTCTGCACTGAGGGAGGACCAGGAGGTGCACAGGTGCATTGTGCCACACACCTGAGGATGCTGCAGACACCAGTGACACCCTGGCAGTGTTTTTGGGAGACACAAACTGAGTTTCCAGCATCACCCAGGGCAGCCACCCCCACACAGTGCTCCAGGCTCTGCCTGATTTTTGTGGAAGATCAGCCTGTGAAGGTCTGTCACATCAGGAGGGTTGGCAACTCTGGGCTGCTGATTACAATGAAGAAGGAAACACCTCTTGACAGACCACGTCCCGAAGAGAACTGGAGACACAATGTACCCTACAGGACTCTGGATTTGGAGCTGCTCAGAGAGCAGAAAGGATCAGTTAAACACTACCTTGAATATCAGTCAATCCACAGCATTTGGGGAAAAAAGAATTTTCTGTTTATTCTTGTCCTTAGGAAAGCATAAGGAAGAAGGAAATGGATTTTCAGTAAGCTTAGACAAGCCCATGATAATACTAATTCAAGATTTCAAAGTGCTTTACCAACAGCAAGTAAAACACACAGATCTCTGACAGGAGAAATGAAGCAGGGAAATGCAAAGCAGCTTGTCCAAGCTTATACAACAGATGAGAAGCACAAACACCACACAGATCTCCAGGCTCCATCTCTGTGCTCTACCATCCTTTCATTTTGAAAACCTAAATCCATTTTGCACTCCAACAAGGTTTTCCACATAGATTTAAATGTTAATTCTGAGCTGTGTAGACTTTCTTTTTTCTTGATGTGGTATCTCACCCATTATCTCCTCCTCTGTACATATACAATATAAAAGGAAGTAGTATTTCAGAGCCAAGAAAATAAGAAAAAAGAAGAAAGTCCTAAATTTTTATCTAAAGACAAATTCTTTTGCTTTTGGGCACACTGAATACAGATTTGAGGCAGCACTCCTTCATCTTACGAAGAGATAAAACACTGCTTGGAAACTATGAAAATTGAAATTGCTAAGATACTACTAAATATATATATTTATGATGTTTCTATTTCCCACACTAATATCATGTATAATGCATTTTATGTATTATCTGTTCAGATGCAGATACACTTCACTGCAGGCAGAGATGAGGCAATTATCCAAAACCCTGGCAAACCATCCTTTAGCCCCATGAAGTGCAGGGAGTAACACAGATCACTCCAGCACACAGTTCATGTGGCACAGGGACTGCTCCTACAAAAGGCACATAAAAGGATCTCAGTGTCCATGGTGGTGCCAGAGTTTTCTGCATGGAGTCACCTCACCACAGACACAAGGCACAAAAAGGAAATCTAAGGACTCATCTCAGCAAGCTCCTCTTTTTTTGCAGAGCACACATTAAACTCACAGGTACTTTCACATATGACATAAATTAAAAGCTGTCTTTTAAAACCAAGTTGTGTTTTCATGTTCCAAAGTCATCTAGAAGACAGCACTGTCAAATGGAGAGTTTCTCTTTGAATCCCCACTGCCTGTGTGAATGGCTACTCCCCTCACTTCCATCAACACTGACCTGTTCAGGGTTTGTCTCCTTTACTGCTATCCTAGCCTGTGGACCTTCTCAGAACAACAGGGACACCTCAAGAGGAAAATGGCTTTCTTTGCCCTTGCTGTCTGTAATTTTCTTTTCAAACCTTCCTTCACAATCAGAGTAAAGGGGAATGTGCTCCAAGATACCGCAGAGATGAGCCAGGAGCGAGCTCCTCCTGAGGTCAGATACTGGGCTTTTGCTGATGAAGAGTTAAAATATTAATATTTATTGTTGTGCCTGAGACCTAAAGCAGCCCTAGTGCCCTCACTGCACAGGTACAAGTGACAAACACGACTGACAAAGGCACTTTGTGGAAGGTACATGAGTTAGCAGAATGCCTCCTCAGCCAGTGAAGAGGAATCTGATCAATATGGTCCCTTTTAAGACCAGCCTCACACAACCAACCAACCATTTAAACAGGAAATATTTATGACAGAAAATACTTCTACCAACCCTAAATACATCTGTGTGCATAGTCCAACTGTTATTTCTGTATTTCATGGCAATACAATGCCATGACACAGTGTACTCTTGCCAAGATCCTACAGGGCAGATGGAATTTTGGAGTCCATCTTTTAGATGCAGAGGTTTTTCTCTATCATGACTGCAACAAAAGTTATTTTGGATCATTTTAAAGGACATCACTTAAAAAATGAAGATTTATGCCTTGCAGGATGAAAACGCACAGTTAAAATGGAATTATCTCTGTTTGGCAGCCTGTAGGAAATCAAGGCTCCCTTTTCCAAAACAAATCTAAGAGATCTAATCTAATTTTATACATTAATCTGCTCTAAACCTTGGGGAAGCTACAAAGCTTTACTTCCTGTTCTGAGGTAGGAAAGAGAATCAAGAATCCCAGATCTCAAAGCCTGATTATTTTAAGGAAATGTTTATGTGAAGAACTAACACCAGAACTTACTGTTGTCCTTCAGCAAGAAACCTATAGGATGATTCAAGTATCACAAAAACTTGGATTTGAAAGGACTTTAAAGATCATCTTGTTCCAGCCCCCTGCCATGGGCAGAGACACCTTCCACTATCCCAAGGTGCTTCCAGCCCCATCCAGCCTGGCCTTGGACACTTCCAGGGATCCAGGGGCAGACACAGCTTCTCTGAGCAGCCATATGATGTTCAAATTGGAAAACATCACACAAAGAAACCAGCAGAGATACACGTTTTAGGTCAAGGGATACCATCTCTCCTTGAATCCCTCTCTAACCTCCTGGTTATTCACCCAGAACTCCAGATGTCCAGAGTTCTGAGCAAAACCACATTTCCTTTTTCTTGGCACATGTGATGTACTCCTCATGGACTCCTGGTTGGATTCCCTCCTTGCCTGCTCCCAGCAATGACCAAGTTAAACAGCCTTTCCCAGGTGTCAGAAAGCCACAAGGGGTTACATCATGCAAGACTACCCTGCAGAGATTGACAGATCAGGCATCACAACCACCCTCACATACCTGACAATTTATTAAATCAACCTCTACCCCAAGGACTACACCACCTCCACCCTCAGGTATAAATGGAAAGGGAAATTAAGGCAGTCTTGGGTTATTTCATTGGTATTTTTATATGAATTTCGAGACAGACCTTTTTTAAAATGAGAGGTTCCATCACACCATGACAAATCTTTTATTCTGTATCTGGCTCAGAATTTCTTAGTGTAATTTAGTACCTCTAATAGCACACTCACTGTAAATGAGCAAGAAATGAACAGGGAACACTGGAGAACTGCAGTTCACCAGAACAAATGCTGGCAACTTCATTATCACTTCCAGCACTGACCACAAGTATTGCAGGGGAAAAGCTGACCTGGTTAAGGACTTTTCCATTTCTATCTATGATCTCTCAGGGAATGTGCTAAGGAAACGATTGTCCTACTGAATCATTTCAAGAATTTTACAGCCAAGATGATTTATTACCATAAAATAGGTCTTGGAAACAAAGTTATTTGAGGAGACTCAATAGCTATTAAATCATTGTGGAAAACATGATGCTGAAGGAATTGCAGATGCCTGACACATGTTCTACCATTTTTTTTTTTTTATATTGAGTGTCTATAAAAAGTAGTTCTGCAGAATTACTTAGAAATTTTCCGACAGAAAAAATTTAAAAAGAGGAGATATAGGTATAAATTAAAATGGCATCCATAAAAGTAAAAAACAGTTGTAACTAAAACACCCCACAAAGGCTGTTGGAAAAACTGGAGTCACCAATAATTTCAAAACCTATGCATTAAAAATACACTTCTCACTTAGTAAACAAGCCGAGACGCATTTTGCAGAGTTATAGGTATTTTAGAGTTGAGTCAACAATACATAGAAAACCTCACATCATCTTATAATGAGTCCACTTGTTAGCTGGTGTGAAACCAGACCCAGAATCACCTTGGGTTTTGTTATTACAATGGCAGTGTAGATGTTGTTATCACATAGAGCACGCTCTGCTCAAGACAGCTTGAAGCATCTCTCTTTAAAATGTGCCATTGAATACTAGAAGTGAATCAGAAAGATGGTCTGTAAGGTTTGCTATGCAAAATATCACTGAAGAACATGCTGCTCTCTTGACCAAAATGGAAAAGGTCTTGTGTGGTCCACTAGGCCAGGCTGCTCCAAGCCCCACCAAACCATGAACTCTCACAGTACCCAAGTCCCAAATGTTTTAAACGTATTCCAAAATACTCAGCCAAAATACAGCAGCCTCAAAGTAAGGTCCAAGCTTTTCTTACACCAGCTGAAATGACAGACAATTCTAATTACTTTTAGAGGTTAAAATCCCTTTCCAGCCCTTCTTGCCCTCAAACCCCTCCTCTTCACATCCCTGGATCATCACAGCTACAACAGCAGTAATTAAGACACAACCCAGCTTTGAACTCCTTAGTGCCTTGACACAGTGGTGACAAAGGGAGAGAAAAGATCCACCTTGTGCCACTCATGTTGAGCCACATGGCTCAGAAACAGGGAACCCAGACAGTTCTACAAACTGCACTCACACACCAGGAAATGAGGAATACTAATGGCCTTCATAATTAAATGGATGTCTTCTAGAAAAGCTGATCAATAATCTTATAAAATAGGAAAATGAGCACTCCTCTTCGACTTACATTTTGTGTCGTCCTGGTTCACTTGTGTAACTCAGCCACCCTTTCTTTTTCTGCAACACAACAAAGAAAACAAATTCTGTTAAAAAATAAGTATTTGCTTGAACTGACGTTTCTCATTACACTGTTAAGTAATGCTTCAAGCTTACTGCTTGCTTTTAGTCAACACTGGAAAATATTTCCATCCTTCTTGTCTGTTTCTCTGATTTTGACTGCCAGAGTATTCCTGTTACATGAAACTGCTCTATCAAGATGAACCTTGGAGACTGCTTGGCGATTTGAGCATAACACTGACAAACCAGAAATGAATTCCAAAACCTACTGCAGAGTTGACCAAAGAAATTCCTTGTAGCTGCAGAGAAAGTAAATAAGCCTTTTTTTTAAAAGGATCTAATTGCTCAAAGATATCTCTGTGGTGTCTTGATAGATCTGTGAATGCTCCTTGTTGGCCTCCAACACCTAATTCAGGAAGGTGATGACTTGGTTTGGGTCATACCTGGTACCCCAAGACACGTCAGCAGGAGTTAAATATTGGAAGGGCTGTTCCTTACATCCTGCTCTGTGCATTGGATTCAAATCCATAGAAATAGAGAAATTATACCCATACCTTACTGGGAAATGAAGCAAAAGAAGAGCAAGCAACCAGAAAAACAAACAGAAAAATCTACTAAGTAGAGTTATGAGAGTATTGTCCTGAAAAAGAATGCTCTGATGCTACATTCTCCACTTAACCACATAATTAGTAGACTTCCAGCAGAAGTAGCAAAAAAATTCCTCATTCCCTTACTAGGCTAAGTAGCAACCTGGAAGAACCACTCAAACCTCCATGAAGAAGAACTGGATTGTTCCAGATAATGAAATAACTAAATAACAGAGTGGAAAATGAAGCACAGAACATCTCATCACTCAAGGTCAGTGCAGTGCTCGTTCTGCTGAAAATGGTAATTTGCAAGGGGAAATAAAAAATTTAAAAAGAGATGGAAAGAGGGAAAGAGCACACCAGTCAGAAAGATTCCTGACTCTGGCTATGGTTTGCTGCCAGGAAAGGATAACAAAGCAATAAGTAAATGCCAGCATGGATTTGTCAAACTGCTTCCCTTTCCAACAAGTTAGAAAGCCCCAGGATGTAGAAATAATTCAGTGATCACCAGGGTCTCCTGAGCATGGCTGTTTTTATGCCACGTCATTCGACCAAAACAATAAAGGATCATGGATTTGGACAGAAAAACTCATCCAAAGAATAAAATTTCTTAAGTGATCACCCAGGTCTTAGCACATGGCATCCAACCTTCAGCACCAGCAGAACCCCAACACATTCAGAAAGAAGCTGAGTATCTCAGTAATTCATCAGACAACTATGCAGAAGAAGTGTTTCTTAATCCTAAAGTCTCTATATGAAATAAAGACATGAATTGTTAGGGGGTATGAAATCATCAACTCATTTATAAGGGGCACAGTTAAACTTCAAGCTATTTAATTTAGCAGAACAATAGAGCTTTACGAAGTGTGTTTTTCACTAATGACCTGGACACTATTTTTGTTATTTCTGCTTCTAAAATGCACAGCCAATATTTGTGGTTTTTGTAAAAAAAAAGGCATTTCTTTCTCAAAATGTTGTTGTGCAGGAAAAAAAAAAAACAATCAAGAAAAGAATTAAACTCAGAGTACAATCAAATATACAAAGGAAAACCACACAAGTACAGATTTCATCGTACTCCTCCAGATTTTAAATAGATCAACATATTTTGGAGATGGGTGTGATTTTATGCGAGCTGTGCCCCTTTAAAATTGGCAACTACATTTAATTCAGAGCCGTCTTATTCCAAGTTCCTAACTCCAGTTGAAAATAGATCTCACAATGGAACTCTACAGCTGAATATACTCTGGGAGAAAATTAATACTTTAATTTATTCCAAAGTCATTTGCATGACAGTATATCATTAGTATATACAAAAAAAATATGTATTATACCAACAGAGGAAAAATTCTGTGCAAACAGTGAAAGAAACTCGCATCCCACCAGTGAGATGAGCTTAAGCCTCGAAGCAACAAAGCTGTTTTATTTCTCTGAGAAACAAACAAAAAAAAAAAAAAAAAAAAAAAAAAAAAAAAAAAAAAAAAAAAAAAAAAAAAGAAAGAGCTGTTAGTAGTCTAGATTGTCATTTTAAAAAATACCACGTGATCCTAAAGAAAAACACAAAGCAAATATGATTTCTTGCATGCCAGGTATCTCCTAAATAGCTAAAAAGAGCCACATGGACAATCAAGTGCAGACTAAAAATAACTGATGCAACACAGCTCACATACAAAGCAAAGTTTTCCTACCTCACTGATTAACCAGTTGAAGAGGAAAGAAAACACACACTCACTTTGTAACTCCATCAACCTTGTTGTCCTGGAAACAATTCTTCTACAAGAGAAGTACTTAACTGCCAAAACATCTTCTGATACAACTTTTGGGTTTTTTTATTTCCCCTCCACTTCCCTCTCTGCAGTGCTCTCAATGTTTCATGAGCAGCCAGTATCAAACCTAACCCATCAAATGGCACAGAAATTGGATCTCCTGCTCTTGAAAGGAAATATGTAATTCCATTTGAGTATTCAGCACTCAGGGAACACCAGGTTTGCACAAAGGCTATGGAACAACTCCATAATTTTGTTGTTGCTGTTGTTAAAATGTCCTATTAACTGAACATTTCATTTTAGGAAATGGCCTCAAGTCGTGCCAGGGCAGGTTAACATTAGATACTAGAAAGAATTTGTTCATGGGAAGAGTGGTCAAGCATTGTAAAAGGCAGTGGTGGAGGCACTATCCCTGAAGTGTTAAAAAAAATGGATACAGCAGCTGAGGACATGATCTGGTGATGAATATGATGGCGCTGGTAAGCTGGTGACTGGATTTAAGTGACATTAAAGGTCTTTTCCAAATCAAAAAAACTCCATGATTCCATATAAAACAGCAAACCTACAGGGTGAACTCATTATTCAGGCACCCAAGTACCTGGGGTGAGAGGTGAGAGTCCTTTCTTGCCACTCAACAGCTCTGCGGGAGTGCAACAAGGTCAGAAACCACCAAAAAAGAAAAGAAAAGTATTTTTCAGGTTTTATGGTTGCTGTCTGTGTTTAGAAGGGAACAGGACTTTCAAATCCAGATCTTGGCAATTTCTGCCACATTGCTGGCCACAAATTTAAAAAACGCTTCCACGTCTCAGTACTGCAAACATTTGTGCCCTCCCTTCCTTGGTTTAGAATCCATTTTTGAAAGAGGTCTGTGCTTCTTACTAGAAGAGAAAACTTAATTTTAACCTTTGTATGAAATAAAAGCTGGGTTTTGAAACCAGTTTTATCTAGGAAACAGCAGGCTTGTTTCAGAGCACAACTTTACTCTCCACATCTCTCCATACATTGCTCTGCTATGCAGCCTGTTTGGGTCAGATTCAGCAATTTGGCTTCACCTAAATTGGTCCAACCCACTGCAACAAATATAATTATTTAAACACTTGTAAATTCCTTATTTCTAGACTACCAGTGTTTAAAAATTTTTGCATCTGAGCCTCTCAGTCAGCCTGCCCACACACGCTGCCCACACCTGTTTTCCGGTGAAATGCCAGAGTCTGCACCAGCCTCAGATGGGAAAAATCACAATTCACTGTTTTCAAATGAGACCTGTTAATTACCAAAATTATTCCCACAGCAAGTCCAAAGGGATTTTGGTTTCCTCAGAAAATCCATGATTAAACACAGTTACACTCAGCAGTTTTATTCAGTGTGGTATCTCTGATTTATTATCTTCACTCCACTAAGGAGATGCATTTTCCCTTGTCTTCCTTCAATTTTCAACGTATTCACAAGGTTTTTTTCATGTTCTTTAGCAATGCTGGTTATCCACCTTTCTGTACCTTAGATTTTCCTATAAACCCTGTCTAATTCTTGTCCAGAGAAACTGTGGCTGCCCCAGTCCTGGAAGTGTTCACAGCCAAGTTGGACAGGGCTTGGAGCAACTTGGGATAGTGGAAGGTGTCCCTGCCCATGGAAGGAGGGTGGATCAAGATGGTCTTTAAGGTCTTTCCAACCCAAACCATACTGTGCTTCTAATATGCCTTTACATTGATTTTAAATTGTATCCTTGTATCTACTTTTCAAATAGCCAATCTTTAACATATCAACACAACGCACAGCTTTGTTTTCCCTTTTCTCTTGTGATTTTATTCTAGACATTGCAAACCTTTAAATTTCTACTATAAACCTTCAAATCTCTGTGTATCCTCTGTATTTCTTTTAAGCATCTTCTGGAGAGATCACAGAGTGATAAATGGGTTGGGGTTGGAAGGGACCTTCAAGATCCTCTACCCCACGAACAGGGATATGTCCCACTAGACCAGGTAATATATTTAACTGGCAAAATTAGCTGGAATCCAAATTAATCAGGATCTGGAGTCACTACCAATAAACAACTACCAGTAAGAGATCCAAAATCTCAACTTCACAGTCTTGAGCTGCCTCTGCAAAACGCCACAGTTAGGGATGGAAATTTCTCATCTCCTCCACTGCAGATCCAGTTGCCTCGGCAGCATTTTACTGCACAGGCTCAATAAACATTCCATGTGTCACCAAGCAGGCAGTGAACATCCACAGAAATCTGTCTCAACACGTCAAAGATCCAGGGATTTTCAGCATCCCATCCCTCAAACCGTGCATGAGAAAATTCAATGGCAGAGAGGGAGAGGAGGAAGGTATTTGGAAACTTGGTGCATAGGAGCAAATTTAAGATTATGAAAATTGTGGTGCCTTACAGTAGCAGCGCTGTTACAGGCGTTACAAACACTGAATTTTGTCAAACTATTTCCAGTAAATGCATTTTTTTTTCCCTATCTCAGCACTAGAAACTCCCAATGCATAGTGTAAATCGTTATATTCTGCACTTTCTAGCTCAAATGAGGACCAGGTTTTACCAGACAGCTTTTAGGAGTGTTTAGACCCTCCCTCTCTGGTACAGAAGCACACTGATCTCAGGCTGGAAAAACATTTCTTATACTGATTTTTTTCCTTCTTA